CGAAGGTAGACAATTTTATTGTCACCTTTTCCATCAATCGCCATAGCATCATCCATCTTCTTGAAGAGACTAACAAGCTTGAATGTTCCAAACTCTGAACAACAAAGCGGCCTTCTAAACATTTTCTGGTACTCAATAGGAACTCGGGTAAAAGGCAGACAGCCTCCCGATGATTTAAGCAACTTCACCAGCTGTCCTTTCAAACCATTTATATCTCCGGGCTGCGTCAATTTTAGTTCTTGAGCACGCATGAGAGCTTCAGAAGGCGAAATAAAGCCTTCCCCGCGAGCCATACTAGGCCAATCACAAACAAACTTACCAGCATTGCATAAGGTAGAAGACACGCTCACGCCAGATGGAACACCAAGAATGATGGTATAACCACGCTGGCCCAGACTGTGAAGAGCTGGAGCAAAATCCACATCCCCTGAAATAAGCATTATAGAAGATGGTGGGGCCTTGTCAAGAACAAACATAAACATGTCAAGCAAGATAGCCTTGTCAGCAGCATCCTTCCTTCCATTTGGAACATCAATGAGTTTGACACCAGTTCTCTGGCAACCCTCCCTAAGACGCCTGGTAAAGCAATTAAAATCTCCATATGCAGAGAACATGGTAATAGGCCCTTTAATCAAAGGATGCTCTCTCAGAGCATTTCTTATATTGCCAGCTACATCATCAGGGCTAACATCACCTGGTACAGGGCAATTTTCAATGTCCCAAAGTATGCCAATAGGTCCAGGCCCTTTAATCAAAGGACGCTCTCTCAAATCCTTTCTTATATTGCCAGCAACATCGTCAGGGCTAAGGTCACTTGGGACAGGGCTTTTTCCAGTATCCATATGCATACGATGAGCATGTCTCCTGGTAGCTAATGGGGCCCTTCTCAACAAAGCCTTTCCGATGTTTGTAATAAGTTCTTCAATGGAAGCATCACTTAGGACAAGGTCATCTTCATTATCAGAATTTATATCAACAGGATCATCTGAGTGGCTTCTGTTTTGTTGGTTCGCAGCAGGTTGAAGTATGTCAAAGTTTGAATCAACTGCAGGTGTTTCCTTTTCTTCAGATGTTGCAGTAGAGACTATATCTCTTGGTGTATTTGGACCATCCATCAGTATTTGATTATAAAAAAAAACTGCAGAGAATTGAAAAGATAAGAAGAATAAGTAAATGCATTAGGATGCAATGCCAGGAAATACAATCCCCAAGAAAAGAGATGTAGTTAGAATAAAATTTGTCGTCAATCTCCGGACCAAATTCATTATAATTGCAACAACAAAATAATCCAGTATAACATCTAATTACAGAAGGAAACACCTGTGAGAGATTCAAACTTGAACATGCTTCCACTTGAAGCACGTTCAGGTTTGAACCTCCGCAGGTGTTGCATCCTGAGACTATAGCTCTTGGTGTATTTGAATTGTCAATCATTATTTGATTAGAAAATAGAACTGCAGAGAATTGAGTAGATAAGAATAATAAGAAAATGGCACAATGATGCAATGCCATGAAATGCAATCCCGAAGAAAAGATGATGTTCTTAGAATAATTATTATTTGAGAAACCGATCTTGGTATAACCGTAAAGAGGATCCATCCTATATTTAGGAGTTTGTCTCTCTTTAATGGTAACAGACGACATTAATCTAAGAAAATTACATTTCAATAATTAGAAGTGGTGATCAAACTGAAAGAGCTATTATCTATTGTTAAGGATGGAAAAAGTTAATGAAAGAAGAGATTTAGGTTGATTTGATACGAAATTTCATTAAGAAAATTATTGAAACTTTTATCCATTAACTTTTAATATACTTCCTAAAGTTTGCAAAACAATTTTTCTGAAATGTGATAACAAGTCATTAA